AAGAAATCATATTATGTATAATGCAATCTGACAGGAAGAAGAGGTAGAGTAGCTATCTGCACCAACCATGATGAATAATATGCATGAGTTTCATAGTGCAGAATACTTTGCTTTACTTACTAAGTCTATTAGTTCATCGGGATTTCCCCAGTGTCTACTGCACTACCCAGTCCCTTCATGTTTAGATACATTTTGATTCAGAATAATTCTGGTTTATAAAAAAACAAGCAAAATCACGCAGGAGTAGATCCTAACATGCAGAATTATGATTGCCTTATAAGATATCCTAAACTATTATTATGGCTTTTAAAAAGTGTTGAACACACTAAGAACTCTCGTTATTTTGTTCTGTAAGAAACTCATGTAAACCAACACCAGAGAACAAAAAGCAATACTGCCAACTGCTTAGAAATGCTAAAAATATTTGATTGCTTGTAAATTACAGAAGTCTGTATTTTCTCTTTTACAGTATATTTTGATAATTAAGGAAGAATAGGACGCAAATAGGTTTAAGCAAAAATGATCACATGTGACTGCTCCTAATTACAGTAATGAAGATGAATCGTAGAGGCCTGAATATATGAGATTCCTTGAAATAATAATTAGAAGTGACTTAATTCTCTAGCTGCTGTAATTCATTATGAAGTCTGTTCTTGAAAACGGGTGGGGGGGATATGGGAGGTAAGGCTGTGTCGTCATCTAGAGTCTTGATGCATATTTGATGCAGCAGTGGTTCAGTGTTGTAGCTCTTGATGGAAGTAGAGCGTAAAAGTTTAGATAAATGTACAGTTTACAGTCTATGTCAAAGAAACAAAATAAATAAACAACTGTATTTTTTAGAATAAGGTAAAGTCATTTTTACACATGAATGGCAAAAATCTACATGGAAAGTTAGTTGAAAGTCATGATTTCTAAAAATATATATTTATATACTGATCATGTTATCATTTTATCTATGAAAGAATCCTGATTGAAATAAAGAGATACCAGCAGAATTCTAATGAGCAGGCGGCTGAATTTCCAGGCTGTCTCTCTGCTCTTTCTAATTTAATTGCCATTTCCTCCTGTCTATGTCTGCAAAATATTCCAAAAATCCCAAACAGGATTTCAGGGCAACTGCCTCGTTTGATTCAAAATAAAACATACAAAAACTGTCCAAAGAGAACTGTTTGATGCTTAGGGGTCATCATCCAGTAAAAGTAACCAGATTTGAGGGGGCTCAAAATTGCAGAGTTCCACAGTGCCATTTAGAATTTTTTCATGTTCCACAAGCAATTATTTTGTGGAGCTTTTGTTAAAACACGGTTCATTTATTGGCCCCAAAATGGAGCTTCTTGTTGGAGCGCTTTTCTTGCTAAGAAAGTTTTCTGTGCATCATTACATGAGGGAAACACACTTGGATGATGCTAGTTAAATTGGGACTACAGCTATGTAAAAAAAGAAAATACAAAAAAAAAATATGTAGCAAACAGCTAACGCTCTCTATTACGAAACCAAAAATATCGTAGTAAAGAAAAGATGTACTTTTGTACTTTTGTTACATGTTGTGAGGTGGGCTGTGCCAATTTATCCTGTCATGCAAAAGATTGTGGGAATCTGTACATGTTCTACAGTAAGTGCCAAATAGGAATGTTGAAAAGTCCCTTTGCTAAATAAACTATGACAGGAAGCATCAAGCTTCCTTTTCCTACTTCCTTCCTTACTGCCAGCACTATTCCCACAGTATTTCTCATGGCTACCACTAATGCACTTCCACTTTGGTTTATGTGTGATGTGGGGGACCCAAGCGTGATTTTTGGTTTTCACCAAGTCTGTCAGCAAGCTTAAATTACTTGCTCTAGCTCCCCCTAAATATGGGAGCAGTCCAAAGGATGTAAACATTACTGCCGCTACTTAATGCTTGATAATATTTTTGATGGTAGGGTAACACCTTTTGACTTTAGATCACTGAAATATTATCAAATACAGTTTGACATTATTGTCAGTGGTATTTAAAGAGCAAAACCATTGTGTTATATATTGAATTAAGGACCTTTGTAGAAAAAAATAATAATTACAGGAAAACATTCCTAGATATTAGAAGTACCAAAAAATATATACCTTAATAGAACAATAAACCTAAGAAACGCTTAAGTAGAAGTAATATTTTCCTTTGAATTCAGTAATGCAATTAAAAAAGCAGATATTATTACAGTCCAAGGCTTCTCTGAAATAAAGACTACAATGGCGTAATTTAATAATATTTTACAAATAAAGAATAATGTTTCTATCTCATATATTTATTTATATAATTAAATATTTTAATTTAAAATAGTACTAAGCATATTTAACTTTCACAGATAACCATAAAATATGATACATTTTCCTTTTTTTCTTTTTTACCCTTGAGAGCAGTGATGTTTGAGATGTGCCCAGCAATCACATTAATTGAATTGGAAATAATCATGGTACGGTGCTGAATAACTGGCTGCCTCTAAAGACTTTTGTGAAAGTCATGGGTTGTCCACAATGAACATCATGTTCAGACATAAGAATGTCAAATGGTGCATTTGGCACTAGGACATTCTAGGCTGGAGGTTGATGATCTACTTTGTAGTCATATCTTCTGACCTCAGGCTGCATGTCTTGGGGTGCAGAGAGAAGCAGAGCTGTCCACTGATCACCACCTGGTGATGAATTGGATATCTCCTGGAAGAGGAGGAGGCTGGACAGACTTGGCAGGCCCAAGCTAGTAGTGACAGTCTGCTGGTATTTTGCAGGTTGAGTCCTCGGTCAGGGATGCGTTCCACTCTAGGAGAGCTTCTCTGAGATCCTGGGGGAGGCTGAAGACATAGAGTCTGAGTTGCAAACTTTCTCTGCCTCCATTGTCGATGCGGCTGTCCGTAGCTGTGGCCATAAGGGCTGCGGTGCACATGGTGGTCGTGACCCCCGAATCCGGTAGTGGACACCAGCAGTAAGGGATACTGATCAAACTAAAAAAGGAGTCTTATCGAGCTTGGTTGGCTTGTGGAACTCCTTAAGCAGCGAGCAGGTATTGTGAGGCCAAGTATATTGCTGCCCAGGTGGTTACTGAGGCAAAACCTTGGGCCTGGAAAGAGTTTGCAGAGGCCCCAAATCTACATGTGGTCCCTTTAGGACCCATCCAGTCTATGTACAAGCAGAACAGGAGTTTGGTATGCCTTCCCGGCTTTCAGTTGGATTTGTTCCCGGTACATGTTGGACTCAGACGGGGCTGTCCTCTGTCACAAATCCTGACCTGATCTTTGGGTGCTGTGCACAAGTGAGCGGAGAATGGAGCGGGCAATCAATGGATGGATTGGTGCGGCTGCTGATATAATGCAGATGCTGCATTGATTTGTTGAGAGAGAACTAAGTGAACAGGTAAACCTCTCAATTTACTGGTCTGTCTATGTTCCTATCCTCAGCTATGGTCTTGAAATCTGGATCATGATGGAAAGAATGAGATTTTGGATACAAGTGGCTAAAGCTAGAGCTTTCCTTCGCAGGGGGGGGGGCTGGGAACCAATGCCGATTTTTCATTTAATTCTAGGGAGGCTAAACCTCCCTGCAAATTCTGTAAAATTACCCATAAAATATGCATTGTCAAACCTCATAAATGTAGTCAACTCAACTTTTTTTAAACTCAACTTTATTTATAGAGCCCTTCAAAATAACCACATCTGCCACAGTCATTAAACTGCATTCAGTATCCCCTAAAATTAGTATGTTTGGCATAAATTTTCCCTGTGGAGGTTTTAGCCTCGGCCTATTAAGGTAAGCAGCAACAAAGTAGAGCCATAATTGGGTAACACTCCAAAATACGTCACTTTCTGTGAAGCTCAGCCTCTCAAAGGGTCCATGGAGCAGGGGAGGATTGTGAAGCTGGCTGCTCCATGCTGATTGGCAAACTCATGGTCGACTCATTAGTCGAGCTGGGAAGTTATCATTCAATTTGAGCAGTGATCTTGTGCTGAACTCTTGCCGTGGTTTCGCCGAGTTTATTATTTTAGAGGGTTTCACAATGGCTATTTTACCTGATGTAGTAATGTGTTTTATATGTTTCAACATTTGTTATTGCAATATGTGACGTTTGGATTTAATTAACACCATTGAGCCTCCCCTGCTATAAAGAGCAGCAGCCTCCCCTGCTGGGAAATGCCTTATAGATAGGATGATGAGCTTGGTCATGCGGGAGAGGCTCAGAGTAGAGCCAGGAGGAGACCAAGGGGATGGGCCAGGACACATTGGAGCGACATGTAACTTGGCTGAACTGGGAGTGAATCTGTTTCCTCCAGCTCTGCTGGAGGAGGTGACTGAGGAGAGGAAAGTCTGGGATTCTCTGCTGCGCCCACGATCCAGTCCCAGATGACAGGGAAGACGAGGAGTACACTCCTATAAAAACACAATGTACCCCTGAAAGATTGCTCTCCTGTACCTATAAAAATCACATAATTGCATCAATTTTCTATTTTCCTTTGAGATTTATAAAGTAGTTTTGAATTAAACTTTACACTATTAACTTTGGTTTCACCCATAAAACATCTATTGAATTCAACTTGATAAAATGGCTCGGCAAGTCAAAAATGTTCTTGTTAATTCCTGTCAAAAAATCTTTAATAATAGAATCAAAATATTACTTTAAATGTACAAGAACATCCAAAACATCCTCATTTTTGGTCAAATTCAATTTTTCATTGTTTATTTATTTGTCTTTTGTATCAAATGCTCCTATTTATATAAGTGGAAAATATCTTATCACAGTCCAATCTGTAACCACTTAGACCTGCCTGCAATCAACAGTTCTAAAGTTTTCTGTTGCATTTAAGACATTTTCATATAAACTTTTTTCCCCAAAAGACATATACATCTACAAGGAGAAACATCTCAGAAGTTAATGGTTTGGGTCTGTTGGGTGTCTTTATTAAATGTACATCATCCAGTTTCTTTGCTGTCTGATAACGCTGTTTTTACCCCTTACCCCAATCCTACTGTCCCAACAGGCACTGTGCCTTCAGGTGGTGGGGTGTTGTGATGGTAACCATGATCCCCGGAAGCCACTATGTCTGCAGCGCTCACACCAGAGAGGATGACTCAACTAATGACCGTGAGGAGCGAATCTTAGCCGTGCTGGGCATCATTGGGACCATTTTAAATCTGCTAGTGGTCATATTTGTGTACATCTACACCTCAGTCACCTGAGGTTTCCCACAAGACTTTAGGAAAAGATGCTGGTGCCAAAACTTTCTTATGTTGTTTCTTTGCATCTTGACACACTTTTAGGGGTTTGTTCTGTTGGATGTTGACCTGAAACATTCAGACATATTTGCATATTTGAAATTCAGTTGTTCTCAAATATGCAAGAGGAACTATCCCGTCTTTCTGTGCAGTTCATACTGATCTGTGTTCTCACATTTCATAAATATCCAAATCTCTAAAAAAAAAGTACTATGTACAAAATACTATGGTTCAAATTAATCTGTGATTGTTGAAAAACAAGTTTTTGACATTGGGTATTTTTATTTTGATATTTGACTGTAGCGCCTAAACCTCATTGTAAAAATACTAGTTTTAGAGGTTTTGTGTTTTTTCATACTTTGAGATTGTTCCTGCCACTAGCACTGCCAGCCAATATGACAAGCCAATACAAGTTACAAGGAAAATACGATGCAAACAAAGCTAAACTAGTAGAGGAGCAACTTAGAGTCAAATTGCATCAATATATCTCCTCAAGCTGTACATTGGTATACTTTTAAATTTGCATTTTCTTGACATCTATTTCTTTCTGTTTTGTGGTGTTCCTGAAAAAATTTCACATGGAACTCACACGTCCGCATCGGAGCACACCTGAGGAAAGATTCCTGGCTTTGCTGGGAGTGATTGGCATTGTCCTAAACTTACTGCTGCTTGTCTTTGTGTACATATATACCTCCATCTGACGAAGATTTATGTTGTGTATTCATATATTATAACTGGCACATCTTGGTAATTATTAGTTTCAAACTGTTAATACAGTTGTAAATATGGAGATTTAACTCATCAATTATGTAAAATAAACTTTAAGTGGGCTTTTGTGTGAGAAAATATAAGTCTTGGGTTTTTCAAGGAAAACAGTGATATAAAGATAAGGTAAAAGAGGTATTCATAATAGGGGAACACTTTTTCTGTGTCAACCTGTTCCCTATGTATAACAGGTTTTCATGATCCAGAGCTCAATGTGTTTCAATATGCTGTTTACCAATGTTTTTTATTGCTCCAGTGAAATTTTGCTTCACAAATGCAGACCAGAATTTGTGTAAATGCTTTTAACCCTGTTGGCTTTCTACTTTTGCTTTATGCTCTCTCATATTGAAGACACACAGAAATGGAACAAGGTTTTGATCATGATCTGACACGTCCAGAATCCCTGAGTGTCAGCAAACATCCCTTTGTTATCATTTGGTGCCAACATGTGATGGTTTCTTTTATGCTATCATGTTTCTTTGATTGGATGTGGGAGCCAGGCATGGAGGAGCAGCAGCAGAGAGAGCAGACCTTGAAATTGGAACAAAGTCGCTTGGATTTAGACAGCAGACTTCTGCTGCTGAACTCAAAAAGCTGCCAAAATAAAATCAAAGAGGAACAGTGTGCAATGTTTGAAAATGAAGGGAAGAATATTGCTTTAAAGATGTCTACTATCTTTTGCAAAAATAATGAGGCAAAGAACCCTCTTCAGTATGCTGGAGCTGCATATCTAGACGGATGTGAGTTTAGGATTAGGCAGCATGAATCTAATGGAATGGACCTAAACACAGCTGACAGGAGAGCAGAGCAGACCGGGCTGAATCTACATTTCATCCTGGTCATCCTTTTCTCCACCAACAAACTGAAACCAGAGAAGACATAATAGCTCATCGGTTCCTGTTTCACCTTCAGAAGCTGTTATAAAGGAAAAAAGGTCCATAATAAATGCCAGCTGCTCAATATCTATGTACAATTTGAAATGTTTTCCCATGGGAAAAAGTGTTTTTAATTTTGTTATTAATTCCTGTTACACCGTGTACTGCATATTTTTAAGTTCATTGTTTTTTCTTTGATTTTTTTCAACAATTTTTAGGACATATTGGAACGTATGTGTTTCCAGTGGCCATAAATCCTTTTAATCAGATGTGGAAGGCTTAGATGATAATGTCACGGACGGAGAACACTAAAAATACTCACTTGAATATTTAGAGTATATATATTTAGTTGTATTATTTGTGTTTAAAAACATGCGGTGGATTAATTTTACAGATTCAAATTTTCACAATATTTATAAATAAATCTGAAAAGACAATTTTCTTCTTCTATTTGGTTACAGAAAGTCAACAAAAAAAGTCAGCCTGGTGCTGACTTTTTTATGCCCACATAACATGCAATCTGATCCTGTTTGGATGGGCACTTCTGATTGGAAAATTCAAATATAAAACAAACAAACAAAAAAGAAATTTCTATAGATTTTAAACAACTTGACTATGAATATGTGAAAGAGTTCATTGTTTGACAGCATGGGTTTAATTTAATACAATCTTTAAAAGTAAAGCCAATTTACGGAATTAGATTAACAGCTTTATTTGGTCAATATACTGCCTTTAAAGATAAGCTGCTTCATCCACTATTCACTGATGTTTTAGAGATAAATAAAAAGGTGAACATTTATAATTTATGCTACATTTTGGATCACTTTGTGACTGGGAACTTTTTTTCTAAAAATATCAAAATAACATTTATGAGTAGGAACAACTTCCTTCCAGTAATATTTCTATATGACACTTAAAGCAATAACGAATTATTAAACTTAGCTATTTAAAAAGATCTTCCACAAGACTAAAAAGTCTGCAATATTTTTTGCCTAATCTCAACTAACAATATTGATGTTTCACCATGAGCACTTTAAACTTCCAGTACTTGAATAATCAAAAAGGCAGAAGAGTTCAGCCTAAAGGACTAACATAGTGTAATAGAGTAAGAGGATCAATATAAATTACACAAGCATTCCATCTTATAAGATTTATATCAAGACTAACTAAAAATATACATAAAAATCTTAACATATGTATACTATTGACTAATATTACATCAACGTGTGTAAATGCCTTTTTAGAAGCTGATCTATTGCCATCCAAGTTGTGTCTAAATGCAGTTTGAGTTTTCACTAGGGACCAGTTTTAGTGTGTGCTCTGTGGACCAATCAGAGGACAGAGCCCTGAGGGTGAATCCTGACCATCTGCTGCCCAAATATACACATAACATGTGTGACGCTCACACTCACGTACACACACTCCGGTGGGTATGTGCACACTCACGCACACAAAAGGCATGGGTTTTCTTTTTCTACCAATGAGAACCTTCACTCGTCAGTGATTTTTTATCTATGCATGAAACATTTTTCTCATGTTGCTGAATTTTAACAGAATGATGTTGAGACCTTAAAGGGGTTTGAAAGCAGACTGATTTTCTATTGCCAAACTAAACAAACCTTCTTTTGATGCATGAGCTAATGTTCAGTTTTTAGAGCACTTTGACACTTCCTGCATGAGAGAACTCCATGAGCAGCTTTGTAAGATATTTATTGACATTGGAATTTGGCAAAACTAAGTGCCTGGTGGGGATAAAAGGCAAATGGTTTACTTTTTTGCCCTCTTTTTGGCCATAACAAATTCCTTTTTGGATAAAATGAATTTTCCATTTTGCAACACATCTCCATCCAGAGCAAAAAGCTTCATTTTTATCCTTTTTCTTTAAACGTGAACCCCTTTATTCATCTACCATAAATCAATAAAAATGTGGAAGGTAGAAAAAAAAAATCTGTTTTTCAGAAAGAAACTTTTGCTCATGAAGTAAAGATTAGATGTCATAAGTGACTACCTACTTATTGAGGTTTGCTTCTGTGAGCAAATGATTAAAAGGATATTTTCAAAGACATGAATTAACCTATCAGAAGACATGACAATGGGATGGTTCTTGATTAAGCTGACAAAGAACAAATGTGTTTTGAAATATGTGCTTTCATATGTAAAAGATGTAAATAAGTACATGTAAAGTTACAGATATGTCAATACAATATAATAAAAATAAATATTCTGTCAGAACAGTTTGTTGTTCATTGTCTTTTCATTTTGTGGCACTATTATTTCAACCTGGAGAGACTCACTCAGAGTAAAACTGTAATTAGAAAATTACCTAATTCATTTATGCAAGTAAAAATCATTCCAAAAACGTAAAAAAGTGACATTTTGCTTCCCATCCTGGAAGCTTTTTCAATTCAGCCAAGCTTCTTGGATGGGAAGCGAAACGTCTTTAAACTTTGAAACTAAGTTCAGTGGGGTTTTTTTTTGTTTTTTTTACTTTTTTGGAATGCCTGTGACCTGGATGAGTGAGAATCTTCACATCAATATTTGCTTGGTTGACTAACCTAGAAAAGGATTGGAGTAGTCTTCCCCACAGGGCTTGGACACTCATGGTGGAATAAGCTAGAGGAAAAGTGGGACTGATAATAGTCTGAAAATGACAGAAGACATGGGGTGGAGGTTCACTTGCGTTGGGGAGAAAGAAGCGAGGCTAGTAGCTAAATGAAGGGAATCTTGAAAGATTATTGGCTTCAGAGAAGGTGCAACTTCTGAGTTTATTCTCCTCCTTCTCCTTCATTCTATCACAACCCTGCTATAAACACAGCACCTTCAGGCCCACCGATATTTCCTCTGAGGACTGCAGTCATGCATCTCTTCTGCCTACACTCACTCACTATGACGTGTGCCACAACGAATACAGTTTGAACACTTATGGCATCAAGTCTTCTGCCCCTGGGAGCTTTACATCAAATCCTTGATCATCACAAGTTTGACTAAAACCTGCTTGAACACTGAAGCCCTTCACATTTTTTCTCATCCACAAATATCCCATTATTTTTAATGTTGCTTTTTGAAAATCTTTAAGAAAATAGTTATCTGTTCAAACAGTTAGTTGTGTATGTTTAAAACCAGGTTGTAGCATGCAAACTGCCTGTACACTTTTTGTGAAGAAAGAGCCATTTCAGGTAGCTAAGTAATTGTAGTGGGGATCTCTGTGACAGGATGCCACCATTTACAAACTGATTATGATGTAAAATCTTCCACTGTCACCCGTTGGTGGTATACCACCAACACCTGGTGTTGTTTCTGTTCTATAGTACAGAAAAAACTATGCAAAATAGGAAAATGCTATTTGCATTAATTATTATTTTTAAATGAATTGAGCACTTGTTTAAATACTGAAAAAAAATGCATGTTATTGCTTTTGGAATCTGGGCATTTTATGGGCATATGGATCCTTTTTGTCAACAAAAAAAAATAGAACGGGTCGGACACAAGACCTCTGATATCATCACACTAAGCACAGGCTCTCCTCAGGGCTGTGCCCTGAGCCCCCTGCTGTTCACCCTGATGATACACGACTGCATCCCCACATTCACCACCAATCACATTGCGAAGTTTGCAGACGACACTACGGTGGTGGGCCTCATCAGTGATGACAATGAGAAGGACTACAGATAGGAGGTGTAGCAGCTGGAGGACTGGTGCAAAGATAACAGCCTGATCCTGAACGTGGAGAAGACGAATGAGATCATCGTGGACTTCAGGAAGAACCGGCCTAACCATGCTCCACTGTTCATCAACAGCTCAGCTATAGAGGTGGTCAACAGCACCAAATTCCTGGGGGTTCACATCACAGACACGCTCACCTGGACATTAAACACCCTTTCACTGTGTGGTGTGGAGGCTGCAGCTCCTCAGACTGAAAGAATGTGAGAAGAGTGATGAGAACAGCGTGGAGGATCATCCAGGCTCCTTTTCTCCATAAAAGACATTTCATCCCATTGCTGCGCGTCCAGAGCCCATAACATCATCAATGACCCCTAACTGCCCTCTGGGAAGAGGTTTCACAACAACCAATGCAATTCCAGCAGATTCTGCAACAGCTTTTTTCCCCACTGCCATCAGACTGCTGAACTGTAAAAAACATCAACTCTAAATCCATTCACAGACATGCACCATGTTTTTTTCTCCCATACTGTTTACATTTGATCACTGCTGCACTTGGAACATGGAAATGTTCACTGCTAAGCTGCTGCTCATTTACTGTCTGAAAGCTGTACAAAACTAAATTTCGTTTTGTATACCATATGAGTATATAACATGACAATAGAAATGTTCTAAGTCTAATACTTAAATACTGGCACCCTGATAAAATACCAGTGACTTTAAAAACCTGTGCTTACCTATATCAAGAAAAAATATATAAAAATATTAAAAATTAAGAAAACAAGTTCTACATCAAAATGTACATTGAAATAAACCATTAAATTAATACATAATTGTTTGAGTTTTGGAGTGGGTTTTTTTCCTTCACCCTTATTTTGCAGTTCTTCAGAACACCCTCCAGAGGTCATCATGAAATCAATTTATCAGACCTCATTAGTGAGAGTTTTGACCATATGTGGAAAATTTTTAGCCCCCCCTTAACTTCTCCTAATAACATGTATTTTCTGCTGATACGGACCTCAATTGTCTTTTTGGTTTCCTCTGGATTCTGTTCCTGAGAGGTTCCCTGTGTTTTACAAGCCATCTACAAGCTGTTAGTGTAGAATCTTGATTCAAATCTCTGGCTGACAGCTTCTGGACTCTGAACATCATTTCACCCAATCTGTCAAACCTGGTCTGCCCTCTATCATGCACCCTAGATCCAATTTCAGATACTCTCTGATTCATGTAACCTCAATTAGTCGTACATTCAATATTCATCCTTTATCAACATTTCACTCCCAGACCCCATCAGACTACTCCTTGACGGAGAATCTTTCCTGTCCACAAGTAAGCATTTTCTGAAAATCTGCTTCAGTTTCCTTCCACAGCTTGGTTTCATTACCTCAGAGTACCAGCAGTTCCCGTAAACAGACGTTAGACCCAGACCACTGAATCATTACCTAAAAAGTGTTCCTTATTGACATTATAATAAAGAGAATCTTAATTTTCCATGTGACAGTTACCTAAAAACATGAAAATAATGAAGAGTTTTACATCAATTTCCATGAAAATCTTCCTTCATATCTAAAATCAATGATAATATATTTTGTGAAATATGGCCTTTATAATACTGAATCAAACTTTATAAAACAGGTTAAAACAACAAGCTAAGTATATAATAAACCAACAAAAGCCAATTAACTGAAAAACATAAATCACAGAATAGTAATATAATATAATATCTCTATTGATTTAGTCTTAAGTTTATTCACTTTTTTGCCTGTATATATATTCTAGGTTCAAGAAGTCAATTTTCAATTATTTTCATATTCATACTATCACTCTCAGAACTCATAACATTATATACATTATACACATTCAACCTCCATATTTAGATCTATCAAAAAATTAGAAGTTTTTAAAGGTATGCTTCTAATGCATTCAAATTTGGATTTGTAGAGTGCAAGGAAATATATTTCAAGTTTCTACGTGGGTTAAGAGTATTATCTTATGAAAGTTGCAAATTCATGGTGCTTGTATCTCAGCGTATTAAAGCTAAGTAAATTAAAAAGAAAAAAAGTTAGTTTTGGGGGAATTAATTTTACAAAGGGTTTGGTGTCATTGTGGTGGTAAAACCAAAAAAACTACAACTTTCAGTGTCCATGTGTTAGTTCTCAGCTGAAAAAGAGATGTGATCATTTCAATTATAGGGCTTAGGAGTAAAGGACCACGCTGTTGCTCTGTGATGCACAGAGCAGTAAGGAAAGTCATGCACAAGTTTATGTCAAAAAACAAGGTTTCTTTATTCAAAACAAAAAAATATAAACTGTAGCAAGGGCAAAAATTGATCCAGAAAAGAGGTCAGAGGAACCAAAAGTACTCAAAATATCTGTAACAGAACAAGACTAACTCACAGACACTGACCTCCCTTGATGAGACAAAGAGGAACTTAAATAGTGGCTGATCAGTCCACAAAAGAAACACATGAGGCAAAACACACAAAAACTTAACTAAATTAAATAAAGTAAAACCCGACTCCTCCCACCCCCCATTTCATTGAGATGGTATAGTCCAAATCAACAGCCACCTGCTAGTTCCTCAACCAAGGGACTGGAGCAATTGCAAAACTCAAACAGAATAAAAATTAAACACAATCATAAAAAAAAAAAAAAAACAAGTGAACCCTTAGCAAAAAGTAGTATACCTGAAGTAAATTCTATTAAAAATACTTAAGTATAAGTATAAGTTTAGAAAGTATATAAAACAATGTACTTTTAGTGTACTTGAAGTATTCCTAAAGTAATACTTCTTCGAACTAAATTGGGACATTTTTAAGTTTACTAAAGTATACTTTAATTATACTTTAGTAAACTTTATCAGTAAACAATAGTATAGTCAAATACACTTGACTATACTATAAAATATAGTTTAGAATAAATAAACTCTAAGTGCACTGCCTGATTTTAAGTATGAAAGTAATGCACTTTTAGTATACTTGAATAAACTACTTTTTGCTAAGAAAAACTAAATATTGTCCACAAATGTTGGAATACAGTGTAAAGGTGATGAATAAATTCCCAAAAAATTAGATGTCTCATTAAATGAAACCTTACATTAAAGAACTAAATGACATAAATTGTGTTCGTTACCACATCCGTGTGGCTGTAAATGCAGCCATCACATGCTCTCATGGTGAATGTCCCTTTTTCAGATGAGTGTGTTCTTTCTGCACGATTTGAAAACGAATGTCCAAAATTCTGAATTGAGAGTGAAGGGAAACCAAGTTCCTTGAGGTTCAGTTGGTGATTTTGGGAGCCTTGTCATCTGTAGGGAACAAGGGCATGCTAACTTCTCTGTGTCAGCAGAGGTGAGTGCATACTGTACAGTGCATGCAGTGCATTATGTTTTAAGAATAACTTTTCCATCAGGTTAATGTAATATTCAGAATCAAAAAAAAAAATCGAAAAAATCGAAAAAAAAAAATTCTAGATTACCATTGGCTGTAAGCCCTAATAACGTAAATAACTATAAAATGTTTAAAATATCAACAAATGAGTTAATTTTTGTACAAAGTAACCTAAATAAACAACATTTTCAGCAAATATATGATTATATGAGATAATCTTATTAAATGGAGACAATGGAACAAAAAGAGTCTCATTTTGCTGTTGTTATTAGACATAAAGTTTGTACCGTCCATGCTACATATTGAAGATTTCTAAACTTGGATAAAATTCACCTCAAACTGGATGTACAAAGAATTGTGAGTCCCCTTTTGAAGGCAGAGAGGACTACAACTGATCATTTTCTCTGCTGGTGAGGCATGCAAAGACTTTCAAGGTGTTGGACTATTAAAGCAAATCTCGTTTTCCTTTGAAAAACAGCCCTTTGCAAATAATATGCCTGCAGATTTGATTATAGTGTGGTAAGAGTAGGAGGAGCAGCAGCGATGATGCGTGTGAAAGATGTGAAGGAGAGGTCTTAGCACACAGCCCTGCAGGAGAACAGCTGCTCAGTCAGAGAAAATATCAAAGCCCATTTTAATTATTTGAAAGCGAGAATTCAGACGGTCTGTGATCCAGTGACAGATATGTTAAAAGAGGTGTGATATATTTATTCTTCACTTTATTTATTTTCATTAACTTAATTCCCTAAAAATGCTGCATGGTTCTTCCAGGTTGATCCCTGCTTCGGTTTTATTTTATCTGCAAGGTCTATATTCAAGACAGAGAGTAGAAAAGAAGATTATTCCTCCAAGTGCAGGCTTGGCTTGCAGCACTTGTTTTTTTTTAATGTGTAGGAATGTTCAGCCAGCCATATAAACTAACACTGTATCCTGAGGCTCCCCCTGAGAGAGCTGCTGACCTGGCTAATATGAAGGCTACCCTTTGCTAACCACAAACACATCCACACACATGAACTTACACACAGATTGCTAGGCTTTAAAAAAAGGCCTTTATCCACTAAAAGTAGTTAATCTAGACTGATTTGACAACTTAATCTCGTCTCTATCTTCCCCATGTTGGCCTATGCTCCCTATGTACTCCAAACATGTATTTTTCCTCCTCCATGCCCTGGTGCATTGTTTACTTTGTTGCTATTTTTGATTTTTGTTTAATTGCCATTTCAAGCATGAACCTGTTCTTAGCTGTGAGCCTAAAGCCACTGTCAAGAGAAAAAGTGAAGATGTATATAAACGGTAATATGTTATGGCCTACTTGCCTGTTGAGTGTAAGAATTTCGCCTGGAAGTGCAGCTTGCATAAAGGAATGAGCGAACCAACCCTTTCAACTGTTCATTCTATACCTTTTTTAAATGCTACAATAGTTCCAATTTGACTTATGTTTACATTAAAAAGTGATCCAAAAATTTAACTGTTGCGATATAAAACTATATCTCATTTATATTCACACACACCTCACACACTGTAAGTCAGATATTTGTTTTGCACTGATGAAAGTATGTCAAATGTGACTTAAGCAGCAAAAAGGCCTGTATAGTGGTTGCTTTTAGACAACCTTTATCGTCATTTTGTATACGCTTTGTATGGCTCTCATGACATTTCAATTTCTTAAAGGGGAACACCTGTTTTTTTTTTTTACATTGGCCCCTTGATTTTAAGTTATTACATCATGCTATACTCACCCATATTAGTTTTGTGTCATTTGGAGCTGTTCTGAAGATATTCCATTGGGTTATATCCAAGTAACGTCTTCCTATGGGCAACGAATTGAAGGCACAAACTAAACTGTTCATAATTTATTCTTTATGGTACGCCAGCATTCATAATATGCAGGCGAATCACTGTCCCCCAGACATCCCTGGTTTTATTTTTTATATTTATATGTTTTTTAAACAAAGCGGAGTGTGTATGACCGCGCGCCGGCTACCATTCATTCATCCTTTCTACTGAACTGCTGCTAGTTTTACTCACATGCCTGGAAGATGTCTAGTGCTACTACCAAAGATGACCTCGCTCTCGAAATGGAATTGAAAGTTTCAGATTAGCTAGCCGAATGAATAGAGGGGGTAGATCGTAACCTGTGGCTCGGGCTGCCAAACTTCGCTTTGTTTTTAACCAACACATAATTTAAATATCATGCATATTTATATAGGTATTGTGAAGATATCCTGATAGCCTGTAAAGTATAAAAACATGATAGGCATGAATAAGCTTTGCTTCAGCATATTCCTTTTTTGTAACTTGTTGGGTTTTTTTATCGTTGTTTTTTTTTTCTTTTTGTTTTTTTCCTGTGCTTAATGTGGACAAATTACCAAAATAATGTGATTAATTTTTATTTCTTTTTTTACAGTGGGAGACGCAGACTTCAAAGAGTTGACAGTCCTTTATGTCCCAGACTCTTTTTTTTTTTTTAGATCCTCTTAATTTTCAAGCTCCCAGCATTTATGAAAATGCAGGAGAGTTTATGCCACTTATGCCACCTTTTAGTTGCAGAGGGGGGAATTATTTGCCTGAGCCTTTTGTCTATAGTTGAGCACCCTCATCTACTCAGACAGGCTCATGAATCTCCTATTTCAGACACACATATCTTTGTAGCACAGGCTAAGTGGGAAGAGTACCTTGTCTGGAAGAGAGAAATTGTTGAACCAGCGCTTAGATTTAGTCTATTAGGAAGGTACTGCATCTACTTTTAAGACGAAACTCCAAAATGTGTTTTTCAAATCCAAATTCATAGTTATTGTTTCTTAGCTACCTGTAGTTATTTAGAAATTATACATATATATTTTTTTCATCCTAAACGTTATTCTAAGTATTTATTCTATATATTCACATTAGATCTGAGAACATTTTTCAGTGCCTTTCCAAATAAAAATGTTGACCATGGTTCTATAGGACTGCACTGCACTCAGATTAAACACTATTTATATTAATGTCTCTATTTACTACCCTATAGTTTACTTAAGGCTAAGACTCACATGTTTATTTTCATTTTGTTGGGTCAACAAACTGCAGTGTGGTGTTTCGCTCTCAGTTATTAAATACATTTTTCTGACTTATTTTTTTTTTTTAGTCACTTTTAAAGCCGTTAAAGCCTGGAGCTTCATCAGCACAGCTGGGACTAATGAATAAACACATTAAAACACACAGCCACACACAACCCACACTAGAGTAGGATCTAAAAATATGATAAAAGAAATGCTGATTTCGCTGTAAACTTTATGATTAAAAAGGAACGTTGCCTTTTATTCCTGTATATTTTCTAACAATATGATTATATTGATTGATGGACCAACACAGATTGCATGTATAAATTGTATTATAGTAAATTGGAAAGAAAACTGAAAATTTTTTTGTAAGGAATAGAATCTGGAAAAGTGAGGCAAGGATTTCGAGGTAATACTGTTTACTTTAATAGCTTTAAATAAAATCCTGTTCAACCAAATGCTTAACCAACCAAATGAGCTTAGTAATAAATTGAGCTCAAAAAGCTATTCTTAGTATAAATACAGTTTGCCCTGAGGAGAGCATTATTTAACCAATGGCATAATAAAGGCTAACTAACAACAAGAATATGAGAGTGGCCAATCTCCCAAAATGTGGCAGCCAACCAGATTATTCCAGATTAGTGGAGCATAAGGTCTAAAAGCTGCTTCTCCATGTTTAGCTCTAGTTCTTTGTATGCAGAGTATATTTGAGCCGGAAGACCTGAGAGGTCTGAGCAGTTGATACCTTCACAACAAGTCTGTCATGAAATTGTTTTATAGACTAATATAAATATTTAAAAATATATTCTCTGACATACGGGGGTGTCTGTGTAATGATTTTAGCACTGGATTGATGTGCTCCACTTTCTTTGTTTTACTGAGGATGTGGGCAGTAGGATTCTGGATCAGCTGCAGCTGTCCGATCTTTGGGTGAAATAAGACCAGGGAAGCTGGTCAGATGTTTTAGAGGATAGATTGCTTGATTCTTTCCTTGATTCCCTGATTCCTTCCTTAATTCCTTCCTCCCTTCTTTTCTTGATTCATCGATTCCTTCCTTCATTCTTTCCTTTCTTGATTCCTTCCTTCCTTGATTCATTCCCTACTTCCTTTATTCCTTCCTTCCTTCCTTGATTCCGTCCTTGATTCATTCCTTGATTCCTTCCTTCCTTCCTTGTCCATAAGTACAGTTTACAGGTCCTTTACAATAAATAAAGATGAATTCAAATGAATTATTGGAGGAAAAACCTGTTTTGGATTAAACCAAGAATAAAAACAAAAGTACATAGAATAATATAGATAAACTAATAATGTGCAAAATGCTTAAAACATACATTCAACAAAGCTTTTTAACCCCTCACACCAACCTAGAGGTATTTTGGACAAAAATGTGTCTATATTTTCTGTGTCTCGACATGCAAAGCTGGTAAAGTCATGCTCTAAATAGACATGCAGCATCATTGCTGTGAAAAATGGTTCTATAAATAGATATTGATAGAAGTGTTTTGGAAAACAGAAGAATATATATATATATATATATATATATATATATATATATATATATATATATATATATATATATATATATATATATATATATATATATATATCTTTAATTTGATTTATTGTGGGAAAAGAGCAGATATTTACTCGAGGTGTTTCTAGTTTGAGTAGTGAGGCTTAAAACATTCACTGTAAATATCTTTATATCTATTTCGTTTTCAACGCCTTCTTTGACAAACTGACACATCCTATGACTTTTAGCAATATAAAAAAAACATTAACAAACACATACTGAGGCACCCTATTGATGCCAAAGGCAGTGGGACCTCCTTCTATAACACCCCCCAGAAATCCATACACAGATGTACACAGGCACTTATGAGCCAACTTTAATGTGACTGTATGCCAAAACTATTGGAGTGCAGCTGAGGAGTGTCTTTGCACTGTGCTGCACTCTGTGCAGTAAGCTGCACAAATAAAGCAACATTCCCTTCTAACCCTTATTTATCACAGACCTGTGAGTCTCCTTCGCCTCGAGAGGAGAGAAAACCGAAGAATTAAAACTCTAACAGCTACGAGAGGTGCACTCATTCTTGCCCATCATTTGAAGTTGCAGAAGTATTGCTTCCACTTCTCTCGACTTTGGAAAGGTTAGCAGGCAAATAAATGGAGCCCATAGCGGTGCTGAGAGATGACAGAGGGCGGAGGAACACCACAGAGGTAAACTTAAAACTGGTTCCCCCTTTAAAGCTTTTTGAGCAGAAGATTGTTAGTAAAATACTATTTGTTTCCAGTATTTCTTGTGATCTTTTAAAGTCGTCTGAATAAGTTATTCTCAGAGTTTTACATGGACCCTTTCAATTTTTTTTGGAATGTAGCTTATTTACACTTCTTTTACAGTCCATCTACATATATAACTAGGATTCCTTTTTTGGTGTATGTGTGAAAAATATGAGGACAGTAGACAGGGGTTAGACTAAATACTAGTTAATTTATAAACATCTATCTAACCTTTAATACCTGAAGCCCTTTGGTTGATCACTTACATTATACCAAGCTTTCGTGTATTTTGAAAACACCTTATTTCACCTTATTACTAAATATCCCATTGTTTTCTTTTGAATTTGCCTTGGAATCAGCAAGAGATAAACACAGATTGTGCCGTCCTATAGCAAGAAAGTTCCCTCATATCTAATAAAATTTAGTTTTTCTATATTTGTAAGTGTATCTTAAAAACAAAAATGACATTTAAAAGATGTTCAGAAAGTCTAAATAAAAACATCTTATGAGATATATTTGTTCTGTTCTGATGCTGCACTCTGGATTCAATGCAGGAGATGGGAAACAAAAGGATCCTAACTAAATTAAGATCTCTGTGGAATAATGTCTCCCACCCCATGCATGCAGCTATTGCAGAACTGGAGAGCTCCTTCTGTTGCAGGACCTTAAATGCACCAGGGAGCGTTATCACAGATCCTTCCTCCCAGCAGCTGTAAGACTCTATAACCACCACTATTCCCAACAACCTCAATAAGTTCTTACATTTATGCTGATTTTGCACTGTTAGTCAGTTAAAAAATATACTGCTTTCATTTTGCACATATCTGATGTTGCTGCTATTTTTAAATACCCATTACTGCAAAAATGTCAGTAGATGCATTTCGGGTATTTATCAATTCACTATCATGTTATTCTTATACACTTTTCTAAGGTCCACATTTGTGTGACCATTTCCTATAATTTTTTTGCTGCTGTAAACACCAGAATTTACCCATTGTGGGACAATAAAGGGAATGTCTATTCTATTCTGTTCTATATATTTAAACTGCTGAGAAGCAATTGCTAAGGAAATAAAAACTCAAGCAGGTGCAGTTAACCATGGATCCCTGAACTTAAAAGTTATTGCTAATGTTACAAAAACCCACAGGTTCACACAATGGTTAGTGGTCACAACAATGGACAGCTAGTCAAAGGAGGTTTTATTTTAAGTGTGTGGATGAAAACCAGTTCATTGGTAATTAGGATGATATGCCCTACACTGACATCTACTGGAAATCTAGTGCAAGTGCACAATAAACTTCTAACCCACCTGAGCCACATTCAGCTAGTAACACCATACACTGATTAAATTAATTTTTTCATGAGTAGGAAATTGAAATTAATTATCTGTCTATTAAAGTGCCCAACATACAACACTGCTTAGTTTTACCTACTTTTTAACAAATACAGTGAGATTCTGGAAAAGAATATTTAACAGAAGTAAATTAAAGTACAATAGGGAAATACAGAATATGAGAATATTTTAGGAAAGGTATCTGACAGGTGTGGGCAGTTGTTTTTTATACATGATGGTAAATACAGCAGATTGCTCCATCACGTTTAGAAAGCATAGCTTGGCCAATATTTTTTTTCAATCAGGTCAATGTTACTTAACAGAAATGTGGAGAAAAAGAAAAATGTTCTAGAACTTTGGAGATCTTTGAGAAATGTTTTACTTTAAAAGGTAGATTTTTAAAATGTCTTATATACTTTCATTAATTGTTTGTGGTATTGGTCTCAATATAGGGTTTACATTCTGTATGGATCTTTACCTTTTTCAGGTCACCATCCCTGCAAACGTTATTGTGCTGCACTCGTTTCAGAATATAAGGTTATTTCATAAAACTTAATTCATTTAGTTTAGCTTCATTATATTGTCAATTCTTTAACATGTACTAGACGTTAATGTGGCAAACCCTCCCCAGGAACGCACGAATGGAGGGTTAGTGCTTAGCATTAGTGTTTACTGGCTGGTTTGGGGTGCAGCCTATGTAAATCTAACGCCCTGGTTGCAGACACTGCACTCAATGCACCTTCACAGCTTACTTGCAAATAAAAATATTTTTAAGTTTGTATTTGTTCTTTGTGTGTTTACTCCTTAATTTGATATATTTGGCTGTCTTCTGTCAACATGTGAAATGTAAGCTAGATTCCTTGTTTCTGCATAGGAACCTGGCCAATAAAGCTGATTCTGACTGAGCGTTCCACCTGATGCACAAGACATTCAATGTTCATCTATATTTTGCTCTTTTTCAGGCTGCTGATGCTCAGAGTTTGCATCACAAACTGGAGAGGTGCAGAGTTGACCCCGACCACTTGCTTGGGATTGTGGGTATTGTAGGCACCGTTCTCAACCTGCTGGTGGTGGTGCTGGTGTACATCTACACCCCTATTTAAATATTGCAATGAGGGGTTTTGATACAGTAAATATATTGCTGGCTTGTGGTGCACTCCCTTAAAGTCAACAATAATTTGTTTTGTAACTGACCTTTAAAGACATGTTATAGTGACTGGTCTTTTTGATATACTGAATCAGCAGTTTGTAACACATGTACCTCTAATTTTGATAACTCTGCATCAATTCAAAAGTGCTGGTTATGACATTATGCAGCAGGGATGTCTAGTAATGTATGGTATATGCTTTGTAACCGCATTGTTTGATAAAACATTTTTAATCTATGTTTTTGTACGTTTCTGGCACATTCACTGTACTTTTGAACAATGATGTTGCATTTTATGTGGTAAATAAAATTCACATTTTGTCTGTTTTTTTCTCTTTGATTTTACAAAGCTATCTTATATAGAAGTCTCTTCTCAAAACCAATAAAAAGAAACAACCTAAAAAAAAAAACAAAAAAAAAACAAATTTAACACCTAAACACCAACCACAGAATAACATTTTGTCTAAATATAAACTAGATTTTGAACATTTGGTTTTTAAATATGCCTTTTATTAAAAATAAATGGAAGTTTTTTTTGACACATTAAACTTATGATACATATAAACAAATGGTATAATTTAAATACAACACATAAAGCATTTATCCCAGTGCATTGTTAAACAAAAGGGGGAAAAAATCCCTGCAATATAATTGGTTTGTTAGTTACAATTAAATAAAAAAAGAAACACCATCACGGTGTCATAGAATATGTGGCCACTTTTGAATATATATTTTATTTCTATGCATAGGGAAAATTTGTTTCCATTTCAATAATTCAGTATGCCGTTTAAAATTAATAAATGCATACATATGATACTGTTAACTACTTCAGTCAGTTTTAACTTATCAATTAGGTTGTTAGGGAAGTTAAATGATCAGGATTTTTTATGTTAATATCAGGTAATATTTGACAGCTGGTGATGATGTCGATTTTCTCAGAAACAGCCTTCAGATCGTCCAGGATTAGCCTGATGCTGTGGGAGGCATTGATGATGGCGCTCTGCGATGTATTCAGCTGAGATGTTACACTGTGGACCTAATGCACAAACACAAAGAATTAAATAATTCGCACTAAGAAGATATTTTTTTTACTTTACTGATTTTATCCAAATAAAGATAAAAGTTAGTTTGACTGCAGCAAGATAATTTTAACTACATTTTACTGCCCTCCCTTTCAGCATACATCAGTTTGCATTTAAACTGATTTTAAGGTTAGGGTGATAGTAAAGCCTTCCAACCTCAAAGACTTAAACTTGTTGCATACTCTACAAGAACCAGAAGATGTGCTCTTGATTTTGAGGTGGCAGGAACAAGAAACAACTTTATGTCTCTGAATATTCATACTTAGCAAGAAGCTCGGCTACCAAACAAAGTTCCCTCCCCTTCAACATACATCACATCCATAAAAGAAAATACTGCAGACACACAGTGGCAGAGGAGATATTTTTCAGATTAATAAGGAGAAGGGGAGATCAAAAGCTTTATATTACTTAGAAGAGGTATCATACAAATGTTTATATTTGACCATCCTCTAACTATTCATTACATAATATATCACTATAAAGATTAGAGGGGTATTAATGACACAAACTAAGATGGGGTAAATCATCTGAGCTTATCTTATTCAACGTAAATCCAAACCAATTGCACCACTCTTCTCAGACACACTGAGAAAGAAAGATCTTCCCAGGCGTTGTACCAAGAACAAGTATCGAGGTGCAGCCCTCCTATTACAGAACTGCAAATAAAAAATGATGTCATTTTGCTCTTGCTGCTTTAAGAGTGAGAAAAAACAAAACAAAAAGTTTGTTACAATACTCCACAAGAAGAAGTATTGTAACAAGCTTTTTGGTGGAAGAGAAGTTTTTTTTTTTTTTTTAAGTTAATCACTTAACAGAGTTTAAAATCCTCCCAAAAAAGCTGGAGAGAGCAATAATGAGAAGGGTTTGATTGTTTTAATTCCAACAAATATTTTTCCAGTAACTACTGAGATGATAATAATTTTTTGGCATGATTGTAAAGTAAAAATGGTAAACTCTTATTATTATTTTATACTGTTTGAGAGATGACTGTCATTCTTGTCTGAAACAAATATTTTTAGCAAAAAAAGAAGAAAAAAAAAGGATCAAATCTGCCAGGGGTAGGAATATTTTTCTCTTAAATTAGATCACTGACTTGTGCAGAATATTAGAGACCCAATAAGAGAATAAGTGCTTTGGTTAAAACAACGTACCTCCTTACTGGCACTGCTGTAAACCTGCCGGACCATCTGCCCAACATCGTTATAGAGTCTGCTGTTGGACTCCTGCAGCTTCTGTTGTAGAAGGGTGTCACCTACTAACAGAATAACAAACAGACTGAGCTGGGACTGAAAATGGAAAGGTATCTATTCCTTACATTTTTAAAACCAACGTTACTCGTTCACCTTGGCGTCGGTTTATTGTTTATAAATATTTATTTCACGTCATGTGCGCCATCCAATGCAGATCATTGGTGCCTTCCACATCTAGTGAAAACTAGTGTAATTGGATGAGTCACATAACACAAACACTCATCGGGTAGCTTTAGGTCAAATTTGTGCTGACCCTAAAGGAAATGATCAGAAACTGTAAACACTAATTGTCTATGCCATGCTACAATGTCGGATTCAGAAAAAGATGTCGAAATGTCTGAAAAGTTGGACACACGAGAGACCAACAAGACCTCCCTCATCCTTGGCCCTATGTCAAAGAATTTTTCGATAGAGTTGGAAAATGTAGCTTTTAATTCATACAGTGTCATCTGGCTGTTTTTTTTTAAAGGCAAGGCAAGGCAAATTTATTTGTATAGCACAATTCAGTACAAAGACAATGCAAAGTGCTTTACATGATTAAAATATAGGAAAATAAAACAGAATCAAAGCAGGTGGGAAAAAAAAGGTTAAAGGTTACTTTATACTTTAAGTAGTTTTTGGAGCACATACTTTTTCTCTTTTATTAGAGTAAAGAGGTCAAGTTGATACTTGAGCTTTTACCAGAGTTTTTTTAAACTGCAGTATCTATACTTCTACTTAAGTAACAAATGTGTGTATTTTTGACACCACTGGTTATATCAAACTTGTCCTATAGTCACTCTATAACATATGGAGTAATATAACAAAAATAATTTCACCCTGGGATTAATAAAGTATTTCTGATTCTGATTTCTGGTTGATGGGACAGGGGTTGTGAATGAAAAGGTGCCCAGCTTGAAAGAGCTCCTGTGTGTCGATGAATGTGTGCATTGATGACTGAAAGACATCTTTTGCCTCCATTTATCTGTTTACTACAGTGTGTTGAATTCATGTTAATGTGTAGGGCAGTGGGTAGCACTGCTGCCTTGCAACAAGAAGGTTCTGTTTTCAAATTCCCGGCCTGGGGTCTTTCTGCATGGAATTTGCATGTTCTCCCTGAGCATGCGTGGGTTCTCTCCGGGTACTCCGGCTTCCTCCCACAGTCCAAAAATATGACTGTTAGGTTAATTGGCTTCTCTAAATTCACCTGTCCATATATATAAAAAGTCTAATCAATCAAAACTATGCAGTACCTCCATGAACCCCCTGTTGAAGACCTCTATCAGGCTAGAAGTGTATTTTATTCCTATGAGATTCAGTGGAAGAAACATTGTAGATTGATCTCTACTGTACAACCAATGAAAATATAGTTACGTCTTTAAATGTTGGCTGACAATCTCATACTAAACATTGGAGTTGCAGATGCACTAAGAGGGTACAGCGATTAAAAGCTGCTTAATGTGTTCAGTGTCCTCACCATGGGGCTTGTGTGAAGGGCTCGGCCTGTCTTCCACTATGGACTGAACATCAGGGTTGTCTCTGACCACAATGAGCGGAGGCAGTTCTCTCCTGAGTACCTGAGCGCTCTCCTGAGCCATGATGGAGGCTCTAACCGTCTGCTGCTGATCATCCTCACTGTCCGTCTCAGAGGCTTCACCTGGAACCTAACAGGTCCAGAAATGTTTTAGAAAAATACACTCAGAGCTTAACGTTTATTTATGTTCCCGTTCACCTCACTTCGCTAACCTTTGCTCCTCCTGCGGTAGTTTGGTGAGAAGTCAGAGAAGTGATGTAGACTTCATCATCAGAGTCTGTTTCCGATGCCTCCCCCTGCACCACTATCGGGTATCTGCTGCTGGACATGACTGGAAAACAACAAAATGACTTCGCTATAAAATGTCACTCTGCAGTGGATTAAAGCAAGCGTTTTAATTAATAAAATGTACACAGCAGAAAAAAAGAGAAACAGAAAATGTCAAACCTTCTCTGGCAAAAACAAATCACATGAGCGAGGAAGTGGCTTGCTCCCAAAGATCCAATCAGATGGGACTCTGAAGTCACGAGACCAAAACGTTCTGTAACCTGATTGGTTCTCTGTTGAGTTAAGTAGTTTGTGTATCTACGTCGGCGTACTCCGACTATACGCCTAGCTTTGAAATCTCTGGATATTTGGTATCAGGGACGTTGTTTATTACGCATTCGTGTGTTGTAAACGCTCGACGTTTACCTTCTCGTTGGCAGCGCAAATTGTCTCACGTTGAATATCCATAGAGATTAGTTAGAGTACATTTAACGCCGCCTACATTACACTACACTATTTCCCCGGGGTGCGCTGGCGTTAGAAACGAGTGAAACCTTACCAGCAGAAGGAAGCTAGAAGTGTACGGCAGACAGGTATTATTTAGCCGAAATTCTTTTTAGGGAGTTTTTTTATGGTTAATTTCTTTAAGTGCTAGTTTTATTGTGTGTTTTTCCTCTACTTTGTCTAATAGCTCAGTGTGTTATGCTAAGAACCATTCAATTACTGGTTTCTCACCTTATCTTGCTAGCTAATGCTAAACAGGAACAGGATTTTTATTATTACAGCTGAGTTTTGTTTGTTTGTTCGTGTGTTTGTGTTTATCCTAATTAAATTTATACGTTCATTTAAATGTTATTTACAGAATGGCAGACGAGTCCTTGTTTGAATTCCTCCATATGGAGATTGTTTCTCACATTTTCAACGAGCAGCAGTCAAGTAAAGGAGAGATGGACAACAAGGTTTGTTTATAATAAGCTTAAATGACTCATTTTACACTTAAAACTGAATTCTATAAATCACATTATGGTTTCTGATTCACATACGGTGGAAAACAGTTTATGCAGTGACAAATACCATTTATGATTGTTCATCTACATAACTTAATATTCTACATAATGAACTTTATTGTGCCCACAGAGTTTGGAAAGGTTTGGGGTAAATGCTGTGAATTGATCTTACAGCTCGCACGCTGCTGTTTCCAACAGCATGCCATTTTAAGAACTTTATTTAGTCTAGTTGGGCTTTTAATATATTTAGCATTTCCATTTTTCTTCTAAAGCGTTATCATTGTTACTAAAACACCCAATCAGTTCAATGCAAGTTTTAACATTTGTGCAGCAATCTTTGTCGATCACTCCCAACATGCTCACTTATTGCCCCTATCAAAAAATAATAATAATTAGGTTGGAGCATATCCTCCCTGAGCTAATAAACGAAGACCAAACTGGATTCATAAAGGGCAGGCAAACCCAAGATAATATCAGACGCACACTGCATGTCATAGATCAAATACATAAGAAAAAGCTCAGTGCAGTGTTGCTTAGCCTTGATGCAGAGAAGGCGTTTGATAGAGTTAGCTGGCCTTTTCTTTATAAAGTGCTGGAGTCATTTGGCTTCAATGATCAAATTATTAGCTGTATTAAAGCTCTTTATGGGGATCCTACAGCCAGGTTGCGGATTAATGGCTCATTGTCTGGCAGCTTTAACCTTAAAAGAGGTACAAGACAAGGCTGTTGTCTTAGTCCTTCCCTCTTTGCATTATTCATTGAGCCATTGGCTCAGGATATTAGACAAAATGATCATTTGGAGGGGATCAACATAGCAACAGAGGAACATAGAATAAGCCTGTTTGCTGACGATATTATCACTTACTTAAAGAACCCAAACATAACAATCCCTAAACTTTTCTCCATTATGGAAAATTTTGGTGAGATGTCAGGATATAAACTCAATATTAAAAAGACACAGATACTATGTCTGAATTATACACCTAGCAGTAATATGAGGAGTAATTACAAACTTAAATGGGACACAAAATCAATAAAATACTTAGGTGTGAATATCACCCAACATCTAAAAGACCTATACGAGTCAAACTATGGTATTCTAAGTGATCAAATTCAGAAAGATGTAACACGTTGGTCAATGTTGGCCTTAGATTTTAGCACAAGAATAGAGGTGATAAAAATGAATTTGCTGCCTAGATTATTATATGTCTTCCTCTCCCTCCCCATAAGGATCCCAGAAACCCAATTTTCCACATGGAACAAGGTGTTATCTAGATTTATCTGGGCGGGTATTAAACCTAGGGTAAGACTCAGAACACTAACCACTCCAGTTAGAAAAGGAAAAAGGAGGACTCGCTTTACCTGACCTTAAAAAATACTACTGGGCGGCCCAACTGAGATACGTTGTTTATTGGTGTTCTCCAACATATAGCGCAAAGTGGAAGCAAATCGAATTCAATCTTGGTAAAATACCACCTCCTGCAAAATTGGGGTGTAAAATCTTAACAGATAGTAAAGAGGAGGGAACTATCCTGGGCGAAACTTTGAAAACATGGTATGAGGTCGTTAAGAAAAACAAAATTGAAGGTGATAGTAAATTATTAATATGGCCATCTCAAATGCCCAGTTTTGGCCCCAGTGGGTCAGATGATACATTTATCAGGTGGATGGAGAGGGGAATTAGGGCAATATGTACACTCACTGAAGGGAAAATATTTAAATCATTTGAAAAAGTTAAAGAAGAATTCAATCTTGAAAACAGAGACCTATATCGCTACCTACAATTGGGTCACTTTTACGACGAAGAGGTTAACAGGGACCTATCAGAAGGAATTAGTGAGGTGATTATAATCTTGACACGTGCATATGGTGGAACCCCCTCAAAAATTGTATCAAAGTTGTATAATAGTCTCCAAAAATGCGATGGCAGAAATTCATTCTATGTTAAAGAAAAGTGGGAACAAGAATTCAACATTACATTAACTGGGAGTGACTGGTCCTCCATGTGTAAAACACAACAATCTTCAACCAGCTCAAGAAGATGGCGAGAATTTGGATGGAAAAATCTAATTCGTTTTTTTATCACCCCATATATAAAATCAAAACAACTTAGTCAACAACAGAAATGCTGGAGAGGGTGTGGACATGTAGATCCCAATCACTCCCATATCTTTTGGTCATGCATTGAACTGCAGTTATTCTGGAACAGTGTCATTCAGACAGTAGAGGAAATTTTATGCTTATCTATACCCCGAGATCCGAGCTTTGTATACCTAGGACTTATGCCATATGAAGTCATTGGAAAAAAAGACATTTACCTCTGCAAACTATTACTGATTGCTGCCAAAAAGGCATTGACAAGGAATTGGTTGAAACGTGACCCACCTGGGCATGGACAATGGCTGAATATTGTAGATGAACTATACACCATGGAAAATTTGACTCTTCGTCTGAGCCTTAAAGAAGGTGACTTTGAGAAAAAATGGCAGAAGTGGTCAATGTTCAAGGCCAAAACCCAACCATAAGAGGAAAAAAAAAAAAAAAACTTTGGTAAATATGGCAATGGATGCTCCCCCCAGCTTGTTTTTTTGTTTTTTCTTCTTGTTTTTTCTTTTGTTTTTGTATTATGAAAAAGACTAAATAAAGAGTTGAGAAAAAATAATAATAATAATAATTAGACGTGCAGTTTAGGGCTGGGCAATTAATTGCATTTGCAATATGATTGCAATTTTAAAAAACGCAATGGCAATCAATTTTGGTTATATTAGATTTAAAAAGAGTAAGTGGCTAAAGGTATCGCTTCAAGCTGGCACAATTATATGCTTAAAGTGGGTATGCAGCCACACAGAAAGGAAGAGAGAGTTGCAGCTAGCATGCATGCAAGTAGAATTTATCACTTCTTCACAAAAGGTTACAGTAAAGTCCTGCTACAAAGGACCCTGGACAAGCAATCTTTCCATGTCATGAAAAAACTGAAGCACTGTAATGAAACATTTACATGATTCTGATTAATGCAAAGGAAAATCAAAATAAAATCACAACTGCAATATTGATTTAAACTAATCATAATTTTTTTTTTTTGGCAAAATCATTCAGCCTAGTGCAGCTTAGCTTCTCTTATGAGGAATCTTTGTAGACCAGTCCTTTTTATTTATATTTATCTGTCAACAATGTTAAGGAAGCTCTGCAGTGTTGACAAAACTGGAGATGGTCCTTAATAGGGATGGAAGATATATTTGTCATACTGTGAAACATTGGTGTCAGTCTGATAAATAAAAGTGGGCTAACAGTGCTTATTTTCATTAAGTTAGTGGATTTATTTCAGGAGGAAGAGGGGTGCAGTTTAGTCATGTGACAGTGATTTAGCGAAAGATTGGGGTAAAGTTGGCAGTCTGAGTTTTTTATAGTGTCAAAAGGGTAGGGATGCATATAGTATACAATATTAGTACATGTCGGGTATAAGTCATAACAGAAATTTTATCAGAAATTTGTATTGGCCCAAATTTTCATATCATTGCATACCATGTTTAAATGATTCTTGTATTTATGTATTTTTTTGCACCCAAGGACAGAGCAGCGTGTATTTCTCTCTTGGAAGCCATGGGCTTCAGGGTGGGACAAGGCCTCATCGAGAGGTAGGTTATGATTATAATTCAGTATCTTTAATATTGGAAGGATATCCAACTGTTGATCTCACTCCAAATATATTTATTTTGATGTTTGTTTGCAGGCTGACACGGGACACCCCCAGCTTTAAAGATGAGTTGGATATAATGAAGTTTATTTGTAAGGACTTCTGGACTAAGGTGTTCAGGAGACAGGTGGACAACCTACGAACAAACCATCAGGTAACATTTTAGAAACACTTATCAGCATATGGAGGAGTACATTTAATTATATAACCGTACCACAAATGTTTCAAAGAGGAAGCCACCAGACTTTCCTGGTATTATTGTTAGACAAGACCTGTGTAGAGTTTTCAGGCCCAGTCTAAAGCTTGGTTTATACTCAGAAACCAGGTTGTCTACGTGTGTGTCGCAGTGAATGCAAATGTGCCTCTGCCCCCTTTGCAGACATTTTGATGCACCTCTCCAAAATTGTAGGTGACAGCAGACAGGAGGCCTCTGATGGGTCAAATCTACATCCGCTCTACACTATGCATATTTCCTGTTTTGGTACCTTACTGGCTTGTTTTGTTTGTATGACCGCCATTTTGGAAAGTGACTCTTAAAGATGGACCAGTTAGAAGAGAGAATACTAGCAAATGAAGCTCGCTTTTATTTATGTGTTGGTACATTCATAATCATATCTTTAGAACTGGACTGCTGCAGTAGAATACACAATTACACAACAGATTCACACTTTAAGGCCAAAACACAGTGCTTACATCTGACTACACTCCAGTCTGCTTTCTGCAAAAAACTTTAGGCTAGAAATAGTAAACCAGACTCATTAGAAACCGAAAGGTCTGTCTGTCTGTAAGGAACACTTCCTGCAAAGATAAGTGGGATAAAATTTTTTTGTACATCTGAACTCATACGATGGCTAAATACACCATGATATGTTTGCATTTGGACCAATGGTTTCATCCTTTGAGTTTGTATTTTCCCCAAATCAGATGCTTTTTACTTTGCCACTATTTTCAGCTTCCTGACTAAATTGAATTTGTGTGTAGATCTGTTTTGCTGTCTTTGGGACAGTAAAGGATGCAGTCATAAAGAATCATTGGTGATCTGCACGGCCGCTTATAGCCAAATCAGATCCGTTGTAGCTCTGCCTAGTTCTACTGACTGGTATAAAGAAATAAAAAGGGATTGTTAGACAAAGCCAAGAGAAATCCTTTCAGTTTTCTTAACCCCGGTCCTCGGGCGTACTGTCCTTTAAGTTCTAGATGTGTTTTAAAGGGATAGTTCGGTATTTTTGACATGAATCTGTATGGCATCCCGATCACCAGCGGCATGCAATCACACTCCGCCGCGGAGGGAGACATGGCTGTTGTTGGGCTCGCTGTCTGAATGACGGCGCGCACTGATACGAACAGAGAGAAAATAGGACCAATTGATAACGACGTGTGACTTTTTCCACTACAATGTTTTTGGGATGCGAAAATATCACTCTTTTGGACACATAATGTTTTGGGAAGAGAAAAGTTTTATTTCGCTGTTCCTAAAAACCTGCAGGACTACTTTCGGCTTGACCAAAACTGGACGATAACTCTGCTCACAGGACGCTGCCAGGGGTAAGTCAGTGTGATTGCATGCCGCTGGTGATCGGGATGCCATACAGATTCATGTCAAAAATACCGAACTATCCCTTTAACTCGGGCACACCTGGTTCAAATGATTGAATTACCATCTCGGCAGCTTCAAAAGCTGCAGTAGCCCTGTTGATCACCCTTTCATTCCGGTCAGGTGTGTGGAGGAAGGCATAGTGGACACAAGATGATAAAATATCACAAACCAGATATCAGTAACACTCTGTAAAGGTTGCTACTTTACAGGGGGACAAAACCTCAACAGGAAAAAGGCACCAACTCTAGAAATGTGTATAATCTAAAAATGACACAGCAAACATTATGGTCTGGAATTAAACGTGGCACAATCTAAACGTATATTTTTCTCCACAGGGGACTTATGTCTTACAGGATAACAAGTTTGCCTTACTGACTCAGTTTTCCAGCGGGAAACAGTATCTGGATCAGGCTCCTAAGGTACAGAATTATCTCATTTATGCACTGATAATTGTATTGATCTGAACTAAGCTGTTGAATAAAATGTTTCTAAATACAGTCAAAGAAATCAAATTTTGTTTTAATAAAGCTGATTTGTCTTTTCTGTCTCAGTATCTTGCTTTTTCCTGTGGTGTGGTGAGAGGAGCTCTGTCCAACCTCGGTCTGGAGAGCGTGGTGACAGCTGAGGTCTCGATCATGCCGTCCTGTAAGTGCAAGGGATTTATTTATTTCCCTATCAGAAGGACTGAGGTGTAAAATATCAACAGGTTACCAAAAAATCCGGGGCCTAACTTTTTGAACAAAGTTTTTGATTAGTTAGAAATTGATTTAGAAGACATGTTCTGTCCCTGAAGAGAATGCAGATGCTGAGATGCTAGCTAGAATGTATGGTCAGAAGAAAACCTCAAGGTCAGCAGAATCAGATTTAGCTCTGAGATGAATCTGTAGCCATCTTGAAATATTTTCAAACAGCCATTAATGGATCATTGCCAAACAAAGCTATCTCAGAGGAGAAAACCTTCAAAACCAGGATACACTCGACCGTTATGACTTCCTGTTTTGTTTCTCACTGGGAAAAATTCTTGCTTTATTTGGGGTTTGGTAAATGTCATTAAGACCAGAAAGCTGACTATTTTTTGTACTTTACTTTGTATGATTCTCTTTTTCTCCCTTGTTTTTTTCCAGGTAAGTTTCAGGTGGTCATCCAGAAGCTGTGACCCAGTTATATTGATCAGCCTGCCACACATAAACGCTGCCAACAGATGGGACTGCATTAAATGTAGTGGAGACATGACAATAAAGCATCACCATCGGATGAACCTGGGTTACTAAGCTTCTGCAAGCATCCTGTATGGAGTGAAATGGGCCAGAGATGACGAACTAGGCTTCTTGTTTGTGCAGATTTCTCTTCATTTGTAGTTGTTGTTTAGATTGTGTCGTATTTAAACAGTGTAAGACATAAAGCCCTGCGTAAACTCACTTGTCTTTGTTTTGGAAACATTTATTCAATGTAAGCATCTAAGTAATTTTATCTAAACATATGATAAATGTTTTTTATAAGGTGTTATTGAAGTCTGCTGAATGCTTGGTGTAATACCAGACTCACCAGAGCAGGTTATTTAAACAGAGTTGGAAAAAGTCTTGGTCTGGGAATAAAACTGTTGTACCTAAATCTTAAGTCATCTGCACCAGATTTAGCTAAGACACAAACCCAAACCTAAAGCCATTTTTATAACTGTGTTGTAAGAAATTATTGCGAAACAGTGAAGTTTTCTGCTCCTTGACTCAGAATGAAAGCAAACCTGATGCTAGTTTAGGACACCACTTCTGTTTCATATACAGGTGCTGGTCATAAAATTAGAATATCATGAAAAAGTAGATTGATTTCAGTAATTCCATTTAAAAAGTGAAACTTGTATATTATATTCATACATTACATACAAACTCATATATTTCAGATGTTTATTTTGTTTAATTTTGATGATTACAAATGACAACAAATGAAAATCTCAAATTCATCATATCAGAAAATTAGAATATTACTGAAGACCAATAAAAACAAAGGATTTATAGAAATGTTGGCCAACTGAAAAGTATGAACATGAAAAGTATGAGCATGTACAGCACTCAGTATTTAGTTGGGCCTCCTTTGGCCTGTATTACTGCAGCAATGCGGCGTGGCATGGAGTCGATCAGTCTGTGGCACTGCTCAGGTGTTATGATAGCCCAGGTTGCTCTAATAGTGGCTTTTAGCTCTTCTGAATTGTTGGGTCTGGTGTATTGCATCTTCTTCTTCACAATATCCCATAGATTTTCTATGGGGTTAAGGTCAGGAGAGTTTGCTGGCCAATTAAGAACAGGGATACATGGTCCTTCAACCAGGTACTGGTAGCTTTGGCACTGTGTGCAGGTGCCAAGTCCTGTTGGAAAATGAAATCTGCATCTCCAAAAAGTTGGTCAGCTGCAGGAAGCATGAAGTGCTCTAAAACTTCCTGGTATGTGGCTGTGTTGACCCTGGACCTCAGAAAACACAATGGACCAACACCAGCAGATGACATGGCACCCCAAACCATCACTGACTGTGGAAACTTTACACTGGACTTCAAGCAACGTGGATGAAGTGCCTCTCTTCTTTTCCTCCAGACTCTGGGACCTTGATTTCCAAAGGAAATGCAAAATTTACTTTCATCAGAGAACATGACTTTGGACCACTCACCAGCAGTCCAGTCCTGTTTCTCTTTAGCCCAGGCAAGACGCTTCTGACGCTGTCTGTGGTTCAAGAGTGGCTTGACACAAGGAATGCGACAGCAGAAACCCATGTCTTTCATACGTCTGTGTGTGGTGGTTCTTGAAGCACTCACTCCAGCTGCAGTCCACTCTTTGTGAATCTCCCCACATTTTTGAATGGGTTTTGTTTCACAATCCTCTCCAGGGTGCGGTTATCTCTCTTGCTTGTACACTTTTTCGACCACATCTTTTCCTTCCCTTCGCCTCTCTATTAATGTGCTTGGACACTGAGCTCTGTGAACAGCCAGCCTCTTTAGCGATGACCTTTTGTGTCTTGCCCTCCTTGTGCAAGGTGTCGATGGTCGTCTTTTGGACAACTGTCAAGTCAGCAGTCTTCCCCATGATTGTGTAGCCTATAGAACTAGACTGAAAGACCATTTAAAGGCTTTTGCAGGTGGTTTGAGTTAATTAGCTGATTAGAGTGTGGCACCAGGGGCCATCAATTTTGAACCTTTTCACAATATTCTAATTTTCTGATATGATGAATTTGAGATTTTCATTTGTTGTCATTTGTAATCATCAAAATTAAACAAAATAAACATCTGAAATATATGAGTTTGTATGTAATGTATGAATATAATATACAAGTTTCACTTTTTAAATGGAATTACTGAAATCAATCTACTTTTTCATGATATTCTAATTTTATGACCAGCACCTGTAAACCTTCAGCAATAAATTGTTGCTGGTTGCAGCAATCATGAACAGGGTTTACTGGAAAAACTCAGAATTGACTTTCAATTTCTGTTTTCATCTTTTTTTTTTTTTTGTTGTTGCTTTCTTCCCTCACATTGCCTTCGACCACTTAAAAAAAAAATCTCAAAGATGAATCTGATCATTGCTGATCCCCTGGATTGATTTACAATATACTTTTATTTTCATATGCTTTTTGAGTGGTGTTGCATTTAATAACTGTTGTTTCTTTGTAGAAGTGTAATTCCTGTTTTTTGTTTTGTTTTTTTTTGTGAAATAATGAGACACTCCATTTAAAATATTAGCCATGATGGGCAGAGGAACTTAAAATAAGGAAAGATACTTTTCTAACTTGGAGGCAGTTACCTCTTCAAACCACCAGAGGGACACATGAAGCCATTATTACATTTAGGAGGTATATGTTCCTATGTCTTTTTTTCCATTAACACAAAGTTTTTGTTCTTCATGTTTTTTTTTGGAGACAACTGGTGATAATCAGAAACATTCAACAAGGGAAATTCTGCTAATAGAAGAAACAACACAAAAACATTTTTAATAGTAAACAATAATGTATTGATTATATTTTATATCTCAATCACAATAATTCATCTCCCGGAAGAGTTGGCCTGAATTATGCTGTCATTTAAAATAATATATTAGATGTTTTTTTTTTTACTCATTATTTTCAAACATTGTTTAATCATTAATTAAAACTTAACTTGCTAGCCTTAGTTACTCAGAATTTGCCACAATATAGCAGCTCTGGTCTTATGTCTACTTCAAATAATTAAGATAAACCTCTGGTGTTATATTTTGCGCCCTTAATGATATTTAAAAATACTTATTTTCCTTTGTTGGGCCATGTAAACTGCCCAACAATGGAAAAATTATCTACCGTACAAATAAGTAAAAGATGTCTTAAATTAATTGTATTTACCCTTAATTTGAGTAGGTAAATAAGATAATTTGCCATTGAAATTATTATTTTTACTCTTAAAATAAGATTATTAGATAATATGCACCTAAAATAAGACAATACAATGTTTTTTACTTATTTTAAATATGAATTGTCTTGTTCCATTGGCAGTGTTTCACTTTCCCCCTCAATTCATGAAAAAAGCACTTATTTTAAGAAAAATTACTTATTTATATTTAAATATTTTGCAGTAATCGGGACTTTTAATACTACAGCCAATTTCTTTTATATATTTAGTATCCTTATGATATATTGTTCTATTTCCAAAAGTGTAGCATCGGAATCATGACCTTCATAGTATCTTTTAAAGCGGCAAAATAGGCTGTTCCAGGTTTAAAAAAAATAAAGACTCCACAGCAACAATCAACATCTAAAATTGAGCCCCTCAGGAAACTAAAAAAAAAAAGAAAACACCCAGTGGACCCTCTGTGGATCCACATGCCATGCAGACCTCCAGATACATTTTAAAAACCCAATTTAGAAGCATGTCATGTGAGCTATATATTAGGCAATGCAAAGGTTTTTTTTTTAAAGCAATTATTTGGAATGAATTTGTGACATTTCTTCTTGTGGATTATGAGGATGGTATAGCTCGTCTACATCTGTTATCACTCCCAAATGCTGTTACTAAACTACAAGCTCTCGGTCTGTTAATCCAGTTAGAACTTCCTAAAAGCAAAACAGCCACTATTAGCTCAAGCAATTATTGAAAATCCCTAAATACACGTCACTGCATAATGTTAAACAGGCATTGGAAACTTTTATCAGAATCAGAATTACTTTATTAATCAGAATTTTTTTATTCAACAATATGAAGGTTAAGGAAATAAACTAGGAAGCTCAGACATCTGCACAGTTAAACTCTCTTTTTCTGTCCGTTGCAACTCATTAAACAACCCAAATCCGCTCAAGAGGAGGAAAATAATCAGGTAGAGGGATTAGAGGAAGAATGAGAGGGAGGGGGGGTAGAGTTTTAGAAAGTTGGTGGAGGAGGAGATTAGAGAAGTGGGCAAAAGAGAAAATTAAATGGGAAAGAATGGAGAGCCTGGAAAGGAGGCGGTAGAATGAAGGGAAGAGACTTTGATTGGAGGTTTGTGGAAGCACAGGGTAAGGAGGAAGCAGAAAAGGGTGGCAGAGATGTAATAGGGGGGTGGGGGGGTTCTTTCACCTGCTAATAAATTCCTCTGCTGAGAAGTAAGGTTATATAGAGACCGATTCTTTCAGTGAAACTGATGGACAACGGTTACAGTTCAGCAGGGCTATTTTCCTCTCCTTTTGTACATGTCTTTGACCCCCACCCCAATGCAATCTCAGTGGAGCATGAACGGGGGGGAGGGGGGGGGGGGGGTTGTTTGACTCGAGGTGGGGGCTCTGGAGCTGCTCTCAAAACTGCTCCTGTTTCTGTGACAAAACAGATTTCTAAAGACATGTTTGGATAAATCTAAGGAATACTGTTAAACTGTAAAAGCTCAGTTTTATTCCAAACAGATTGTATCTAACAGTGTCTTTAAAATGTTGGGTTTAGTTGAATGCATTAATGAGAAAATCATGTCATTTACATCGTACGTCGGCCTCTGTATTGAGGAGAGGATTCTCCTCAATTGTTCTAACTTCCTTAAATCTCGTTTGGGAATTCGATCGAATAATAACGTTAGGAGGTGTCATATAGGGAATTATGAAATGTTATCCACTAAATAGGCTTTTTTATGATCGCTTCTGAGTCATTTTTTCAAGGAGTAAAAATGTAACTTTAACTTGTCCAATTTGACTAAAAAAATGGAAACTACTGCGAAATGACAACCTTATAAAGTATTTTTTTACATTTCTCCACAAAATTTGGTGGTTTGTATCCTATGTATCAAATCTGTCAATAAAGTCAACAAGAAACTGACTATTTTTTCTTTTGCAAGGTAATGGCCAATATTTAATGAGGATGTAGGATGCTGACAACCCTCTAAAGAAGTCTGAGTGCTAAATATGAAAGAGAAGCTCATTTGACTAAAGTATGGCTTTAAAGGCGTGCAGACATATGCAACAAGACTATTGCAGCCTTTTTTTCTCACAGCTTTTATATTTTACAATATTGCAATGACTGATCGCCACATCTGATAATCTGCAATCAACTGCAAAACTGTTAGGACAAAAGAATAATTTAAAAGTGCAAGATGTGTTGATATGTGAGAACAGTAACACACCCAACTTGGTTTATTTGCTTTCATTTCCTTTAATTAGTTGGGGTTAGCTTAAATAACTCTTTAGAAAAAAACCTCTACTGTAGA